TAGCAGTGATTCCCAAAGTGGCTCTGGGGCGCCCTCTAGAGGCCACAGTGTGAATTGAGGAGCCAACAATTGTGTGCAATTACCTACCTAGAAAAGAAGAAAGCATCCAGCTGTCTGGGTGGCTGGTCTCAGACTATCATGAGGTGAACGTGCTGGGTGTGCAGCTCGGGCTGGTAACACATGGTCTGTGGTTGCCTTTTGGACGTGCTACTAAATTGTCTGAAATGGCTTTGGGGACGGCTTGTGGCAGAGAAATGAACATTTAATACATGGTTCAACACTTCATGGCCTACAGAACTGTAAACGCAATAGTAACACTGTACATACAGTGCCTTGCAAATGTATTCGGCCCCCTTGAACCTTTTAACATTTCGCCACATTTCAGGCTTCAAACATAAAGATATAAAAATAAAAAAAATTGTCAAGAATCAACAACAAGTGGGACACAATCGTGAAGTGGAACGAAATGTATTGGATAATTTAGACTTTAGGGTATGTCTCTATCAGTTTTGCACATCAAGAGACTGGAATTCTTGCCCATTCTTCCTTGCAAAACAGCTCGAGCTCAGTGAGGTTGGATGGAGAGCGTTTGTGAACAGCAGTCTTCAGCTCTTTCCACAGATTCTCGATTGGATTCAGGTCTGGACTTTGACTTGGCCATTCTAACACCTGGATACGTCTATTTGTGAACCATTCCATTGTAGATTTGGCTTTATGTTTTGGATCATTGTCCTGTTGGAAGATAAATCTCTGTCCCAGTCTCAGGTCTTTTGCAGACTCCAACAGGTTTTCTTCCAGAATGGTCCTGTATTTGGCTCCATCCATCTTCCTATCAATTTTAGCCATCTTCCCTGTCCCTGCTGAAGAAAAGCAGGCCCAAACCATGATGCTGCCACCACCATGTTTGACAGTGGGGATGGTGTGTTCAGGGTGATGAGCTGTGTTACGCCAAACATATCGTTTTGCATTGTGGCCAAAAAGTTTGATTCTGGTTTCATCTGACCAGAGCACCTTCTTCCACATGTTTGGTGTGTCTCCCAGGTGGCTTGTGGCAAACTTTAAACAAGACTTTTTATGGATAACTTTGAGAAATGGCTTTCTTCTTGCCACTCTTCTATAAAGGCCAGATTTGTGCAGTGCACGACTGATTGTTGTCCTATGGACAGACTCTCCCACCTCAGCTGTAGTTATCTGCAGTTCATTCAGAGTGATCATGGGCCTCTTGGCTGCATCTCTGATCAGTCTTCTCCTTGTTTGAGATGAAAGTTTGGAGGGACGGCCGGGTCTTGGTAGATTTGCAGTGGTCTGATACTCCTTCCATTTCAATATAATTGCTTGCACAGTGCTCTTTGAGATGTTTAAAGCTTGGGAAATCTTTTTGTATCCAAATCCGGCTTTAAACTTCTCCACAACAGTATCTCGGACCTGCCTGGTGTGTTCCTTTGTCTTCATGGTTCTCTCTGCGCTTTAAACAGAACCCTGAGACTATCAAAGAGCAGGTGCATTTATACGGAGACTTGATTACACACAGGTGCATTCTATTTATCATCATCAGTCATTTAGGACAACATTGGATCATTCAAAGATCCTCACTGAACTTCTGGACTGAGTTTGCTGCACTGAAAGTAAAGGGGCCGAATAATATTGCACGCCCCACTTTTCAGTTTTTTATTTGTTATAAAAGTTTAAATTATCCAATAAATTTTGTTCCACTTCACGATTGTGTCCCACTTGTTGTTGATTCATGACAAAAAATATTTTTTTAATATCTTTATGTTTGAAGCCTCAAATGTGGCGAAATGTTGAAAGGTTCAAGGGGGCGGAATACTTTCGCAAGGCACTGTATATTCAAGCTATCAATATCTGTAGTAGTGGTACTATTGCGCCTTCTGATGTAAAGTACATCTGATACTTTGTGGAACGATTGGTCCTGAGCCTGGAGCCGCCAATACTTAGATGCACACGACAAACAGCACAATTAGATTCAAAAGTTTAGCTTTTTATTGACATTTAATTGGCCCCTTTTACAGAAAAGATCAAATATTATGAGAAGCACACAGCAGCAGTACAGTGGATACAGAGGTCTTATCATTTATATGACTTTATAGTTGTCAGAGTTGTTTCATAACTTGTCACTTTCAGGATTGCAGGGTTTTACATCAGCCATATCTATAAACATCTGGACACAGTTTTGAAACCTGCACATCGCATTTAGAATATCTACATCTTTTTTTAAATAAAATCCGTGTCCATAAATGTATAGATAATCCTTGTGACTACAGGATTGTTATTTGTTCATAAGTGTTGCATGTCATTGTTTCTAGGAATATAGTGATCTATATCGAGTTGGTGAATGATCCAGGAGTCACAATATCACATTAATCCGTTCACTATTTGCCGCCAACAGTAAGCCAACTGATCAGAAGTCTTGCAAAAGTTTTCCCCCTTTGTTCACTTGCCTTCTCGAACCATTTTTCACGTACAAATTCAACAATCAAAAGCAAAACCTTTCAAACCCATTAAAACATTTGTTGTGAACCTGAACTACAGTGACACGTGAAATATAGCTAATTATACACAAATCCATTTTTTATACACAAAATACATTCTATGGACTATTCTCTTGGTTTTAATCTTGCTTTGGTCCACTTCAGCAAACAACCAAGTTCACAAAACGATATTCTGAGTTTTTGCCGCTTCACCAACTTTCCATGTTAAAAAAAACTAAAATCAGAGCAGTGATTTTCAGATAAATGGAACGGATCCATAATACAGTATTCAAATATACAGTTCATTTGTAGATAACTCTGAGCAGAAAACTTATTCTCGTCTAATCCCCAGTTTAGTACAAATCAAAACGACACCTGGATAAAATGTTGGTTTAGTTCCATTTCAGACACGCCACAGCTGAAGTCAGTCAGTGTGTCTTCCCAGATCTATTCTTACCACAAGAGATTATTTTCACATCATTATTTTATCAATCATACAGGAATAAATGATTGTAAACAAATTAAAAGCTTTAGTTTTATCATCACATTCTTTTCACATGAAGTCACCTTTAGTGTGTTCTTAGAGATGTTGAGTTTCTGGGAATGCCGAACAAAAAGTGTCTAACTTTGCAAATAACGAATGACATTGCTATAGGGTTATGTACAGGTCACTTCTGTGGAGAGGCGGTTCTGTTGATCTGTCCTTTTTCGAGGTGTTTAAAAGGAATATTGTAGAACATTCCAGACCAAGCAATAACAAGAATAGGACATTATGTGGAAACGGTTACATAGAGCAGTTTTATAATGTGAAATTTGATCATCTTGTTTTAACGTTTGACTTTCTTCCTGCTCCTGTTGAGTAAATATGTGGTCATTATCTCATGTTTAAATGGGATTTAAATGCAACTTTTATGTGTAAAGTGTCTTTGCATCACTGAGCTTGAGCTCTATGCACGGTGTCTTTACGGTCCATCACATAAGTCTCTAGGGCAGTGGTTCTTAACCTTGTTTGAGGCACCAACCCCACCAGGTTCATTTGAGCATTCACCAAACCCCTCTTTTAGTGTTTTAAAAAAAGTGATGGCCATGTGAAGCCCCGTAGCACACTGAGGCTTTCATTCCCAGACTGTTTCAAATGTGTCGAAGCCTCTGAACTAGCTCAGACTAGATTGTAACACTGACATCTAGTGGACAAATATAACCATTGCCTCTTCAGAAGAGCAGAACTTGATTCATGTTCCAAATGTAGTTTCATCTTCCCACGTAAATATAACAGAGAGCATCTTACTGCAGCAGGACATGGGTATATGGAATACAAGTTTGTTTATATCTCAAAACAAATTACCAAAACAAAGGAACTGCACTTTATGCAGATCACAGGTTTTTATTCCAGTTTTTCAACAGTTGTTAGTTTCAGTCGGCTTCTTGTTTGGCACCAGCTCTGCTGAACCCCTGAGAGTGGCTCACTGGACCCCTAGGGTTCGCTCGAACCCAGGTTAAGGTTAACCACTGCTCTAGGGCATGGGTATCAAAGTAAAGGCCCGTGTGCCGGATCAGGCTCCCGTGTGTCATCATCATCATCATTTCACAACAAATGATCACTTGTGATACTTAGATCTTTATAAGACTTTTAATGCAATTGCATCATTACACCATTAGATTTTATGTTTATCTGAAGGTCGAAGCAAAGTATTCTGGGATGTAGGGGCAGATACTGGTGTGTAACTGCTGAATGATGGCTTTTTAAAAACATGTGATTGTTGGGGGGAAATGCGGTAAAACACCAATAAAACATTCCAGATCTCCGCCTAATTTGCCTTTTTGTCCATTACTGGGCAAACACTGTGCGAGTTACCATGGTAACTGCTCAAATCTGATCATTCATTATTCATAGGCAATAACAATAAGTCTTGTCACGTGTTACATTTTGATGTCAAGTTTTAAGTGCAAATATAAGATTGAGTCACAAACAAGTCCCAGTAAAACTCAAAACAGTATTTTACTCAGCCATTTGATCATTTAAAACGTCCTTCTGTGACGCATTTTCCAGTCTTACTTTTAGGACAGAGAATATTGTAAACAAAGTGAAATGCAAAAGGACAAACATCAATAATTTAAAACGATATGTACAAAACAAAAAGGCAAAATGTGAGGTGTAAAATGATCAGTGCTAGAACGTTTGATTCGAGGGTTCTTCCGTCTCTAGAGTAAATGATTGGTTACCCGCCGCCGTTTTCATGCTACAAGTGAAATTTACAATCTTTCTGAACTAAATCTGACATCAACTCGCCTACACTGTAAAAAGGCGAGATGATTTCAGATCTGTCTTTACTTGTTGATGTGCGCACATTCACTTTCTATGGAGCGGCATGCTAATAAAAGTGTACGGAGCTCTTTGTACAGCGAGAATAGCAGCGACCGCAAAGGACGATGTTTATGTGGATTTAAAAATACGCTCTAAGTGAATTCAAAATATAGAGTCGGTGGATAAAACCGCCGCAGTTGTGGATCTTAGCCGATGAGCGAGTTACGCCGAGTCAGGTCTACGTTGCTGGCGCTCAGAACCTTGGAGTCAGACAGTGCAGAGTTGTCGTCCTAAAACAAAAAAACAAAATGTCATTGCATTTGTAATTTCTGAAATGGTTGAACATTTGAGGGAGAGACTGTGTTGTAGCTACCTGTGCGGTCTCCTCTGTGCTCTTGTTGAGGAAGTTGAGGGAGCTGGCTCTTTTCATTCTAAAAGACAGAAAAGAATATCATTGTATTGAGACCATGGATGTAGTATGTACTCTGGAAAGGGCGTTTCTGCTTAAACAAGTCTCCAGATCGACCAAGTGGCCACCCGCGGTACTGCAGCTTAAATCCACATGTGTAATAAGGAGATTTCAGCCGACAGGGAACCTACAGCTTTCACTAAAGGTTAGATTTTGAGAAGATTTAGATTGTTTTCTATAAATCCACACTTTAGTGCAACAAACTCTGCTGGCTCTCGTACTGCTCTAGCTCCGCCCTGATCAGCGGTGCTCTGATTGGTCAGATTAAACAAGACACTTTAAATGCTCTTCCCTTTGTATCGAAACTGTTTGAGGCGATCGATTTCACAGTGTCAATTGTTTACTGCACTTTTTTAATTTGTTTTATTCCTGTACCTCTAACCTGGTTTTATCTATGTTCTTGTTTGGTGCAGAGACTTTTGCAAATGTATTCCAATGTGGTTTTACTGCAAATGGCAAATAAAATTAATCTGAATCTGAACCACTTCATCTAATGCACAAGAGAGGGCGAACCAGAGCTGGCCAAAGAGAGTCACTTCCGCTAATGTTTTGGACGTCCATCGTGCGATCATGCGCCAAAGAGCACAGGCCACTGGGCAGACATCTTGGAGACCCGGACACAGAGGTCACAATGATACTGTAGATCCTATAGCACCCCAGGGGCCACTGTAATTAAAAGGTAAGTAAAGAAAATATACATGTACATAAAAGTAGTAGAATGGCCCTTTAAGTGATGAAGGGATAGAATGATGCAGGAGGAAGAGGCTAACGCAGCAGCACAGGCACAGAAGCCCAAAGTGCTGTGGTTAAGCAGAATTACGTTTTTCTGACTATGAACATCTTCAAAGCATTAGAGGGACACTTCTTATTGTCCAGTTCCCTTTTGTCTTAAATTATAAAAAGTTACTACTGCTTTTTTTTCTCTTCTTTGTGTGGCTCCTCTTGTCTCATGAGTGAATGCAGTAGTGTGTGTTTTAAAAGTGGATGTGTGTCTGTTTTTTATTGTTGACTTACAGATTAGTTCCAGTTCTATGAGAAGGTCGTTCGGCTTGTAATTACTTAAGTTTATCCCTCAGCAAAGCAGTAACTTTTGGAGAAGTAATGAGTAACTATAACTAGAAAATTATTTATAAAAGTTGTTTAACACGTTTATGTTTCTAATACAAGCATGAATTTCCACTGAGCTCTTAAATACATTGGCTGCCTGGGTCTCATACAGGTTTTTTGCAAGGAGTATACAAGGTCTTATTCAATAAAGACTGCACCAGGTCTGAACCAGGTCTGAAGCAGGTCTGAACCAGGTCTGAACTCAATTGTAGGAAAAGGATTCGCTTTTCACTCATGCTTTGTGAACGCAGTTGTGCTTGGTTACCCGGGGTTACGGGGCTCCTGTGGTCCGCTCCCCTGCAGCTTCTTCACCAACATCTCACTGCTCCTCCTCAGAGCGTCCCGGATCTTTCCAAAGGAGCCGGAGCGACGCAGAGAGCCATTACCATCCTGAAAAACAAACAAATAAACCACCATTTTATACAGATATATTCTATTATTCCTATTGTTTGTATCGACCTAATTCTGTCGTTCTGTATTTGTTTGAAAATTGTATCTCATTTTATATGTCGCTGCTAAATACTGTAACTTTGTATTGCACCTTATACCAGTCATTTGCACATTCTCCATTTGCTGCTAAATGTTAATTATACTGTTTTTTGTACATTGTGACTGTAGCTACGTTGGTAACTTGCCCTTTTTTACAAACTGTATTCTATATTTAATGATTTTATTGTCAAGGACTACAGATGGAACATAGCCTGGAGCTAAATCTGGTGCAGCCATCTTTTTAATGTAACTGCACATTGTCCCTAAATAATCTAAACTCTAAACTCTAAACTGTGATACTGTTAGGGAAAACCTGGAGTGCTCGAACAGGCACAAAAGACATAATTTACAACAGCACAAGTTAAGACAAGTCCTTTAAGTTTGGAAACAGAATCGGTTAAGCATTTTCGGCAAGTGAACCAAACCAACAAGTTAAAACTTAAAAAAAGAACTAAGAATTTCATACTGAGTAAATTAAGTTTTGTCCTAATACAAAGAAGTACCTCAGCTTTAGTAAACAGTGGGTTTTCTGTTGAGAGCATAGTATTTGCACTGACCCCATTCCACTCTGCGGAGTCGTCACCTTCTCCCTGCTGAGGTCCATTCTCTCTTTGTCTCCTCTCTCCACCGTCCTTCAGGATCTCCACCACTTTGCTCTGGTTAAAGGCATCAATCCCCTGGAGACACCGCCACAAAAGAACGAGAGGATTAATTACCGTTTCAACAAGAACTCAGTAGGTACGCAGCAGTTTCCTAGCTACAGTCGTTGGGTCGCTACAGAAATGCTCTCGCACATTACAGTGGTCCTTATGTTTCACAATCATTCAATAGATTACTTAATATTTGTGTCACGTTGCTGAAGTTACAAGTTTTTGACACAAAATCGAGATTTGAAATGTATTGAATGGATAATAATGAGCCAGAAGGTGATTATTTGGCCCTTCTTCAATCACTCGCCAACTTTATTAAAATGAACAAGACCTGTTTTCTGCCATTGAAGTGTGAAAAACCCGGTCTATTTGGAATAATTGGATCAAACCGTATCTGTACGTGTGTGTGTGCATGTATCTGGGTGTTTACGTGTGTGTGTATGTCCATGCACATGTATGTCTGTAAAGTCAAACCGTGCAAACAAGGCAGATTATTAAATTTTAAAAAACGTCTAACTCACTTGAATAAAAACAGACAAAAGCGTAGCCGTTATATGACCTCTGGGGTCATATATGGGGTCAGAGGTCAGAGGGTGACCTCTGAGAGCTCTGTGTGTGTGTGTGTGTGTGTGTGTGTGAGCGAATGTTTCTGTCCTTGTATTGTTTTTGTTAGTTTTTTTTGTCTGTTATTTTATTGAATTTATTTACTGTAATTTGTTATGTTTTTTATTTTGTTACACTTTACTGTAACTGCATTTATTTGACAACCGCTGCTGCTACTTGTGTTGCTATTTTTGAGGACCCTCCTGAAAACGAGATGATGCATCTCAAGAGGCTATTCCTCGTAATAAAGATATGTTAAAGAAAGAAAGAAAGAAAAGAATTCAAGTCATTTCCACCATGTTAAATACTAATTTGTTAAAAATGTTCCACCTTGTTAAATACACTGTAAAAAGTAATAACACAGGCATGCAGGGATTAAGAAGCCAAATAGCTAATTTCTTTCAATTCCCTTTTCAAACAAAATCAAGGCACATTTACAACAGGGGAAAAAATATGCTATTAATGGCTATTCAATAGTTTAATCATCAGTAATTACATTTACCAAAAGTGTTCTTATACTGTATATATGATAGGAATTGTATTTGCAAGTACTTATAGTCAAAGCCTGTAATTTGAAAGCTTCTGTGGGGAGCTTGGGAACACGGTCCATATTCTTATGCTTTGTAAACACAGTGCTCCATTAGTCTTTGTTTTGGGCTTCATGCGGCTCCCACGTGAACGCCGCAGCAGGACGTCAAAGCTAATGTCGCTGCAGTCTGTCAGCACTTTTACAGTTGGACATAGATCTGTTTTCTTGTACCTGCTTTCTGGACTTGCTGGCACATTCCTCCAGAGTCTCCGCAGCCTCCAGTTTCCCCTGACGACGGTACAGCGCCCCCAGGCTCTTGAGGGTGGTGTTCACGGTGGGGCTGCAAACAGGAGAACGTCATTTTAATGCATCGCTGTAAGTTTACTGAAATGGAGTGATTTTTTTTTTGAGTTTCATAAAGTAGATTAGGGCTGTGCAATACATAACATGTGGAATAGTTATTTCTAGACCTAACAAGTGCATAGTTCCTCGCTCTCAAAACAGTTTGGCTCTGTCACTAGTTCAAAAGCATTTGTTTTTGGCCCCGGTTAAATCAGCTTTTTCAGACAAAAAATATAGATGTATAGATTTAGGACATAGGACACTCTCAACCCAAAGCAAAATAGTGACTCAAAAAGCAATCTTTTTTTTAGTATGCCAAGTATGCCAAAGATAACATGACTTCTAATGATGAGGACAACTTATTCTTTCCGAAATAAATGTACCAGCGAGTTAAGAAGCACTGCAGCTAATTGTATTGTATATTTTGTGTGCTCCTTGTCTGCTCTTATATTGAAATTTCCATAATGTTATAAAACAAACAAGTTAGCTACCATGTACAGCACTATTCTACAATCATAACACACAATAGGTTTTACTTCAATGTTAAATCCACCTTAATTTGCCTCCTACCTGTCCACTTTGCAGGCTTTGTACCAGCTCCCATATTCCACATAAGGCCCAGAGTCTCTGCGTCTGCCCTGATTACAGAGAGAAGTGAAAAGCGTCATTTAAAAAAAGATTTCTCTCTCCGTCACTAGAAAAAGACACAAATATATGAACCTTGCTCTCCTCGCGTTCCTCGGCGTGCATCCAGATGGGTTTGTTGTCGTCTAAAAGCACAATGTACAGAGACATTCTCAAACATTCAGACCCACATTTAAGTCCATAGTTAACATAAAGGAGACATTTCTTAGATCGATCCACACTGATATGAGGAACGTCTGGAGTAAATATGTACTTTTCCTGCTTCTATCTAAAAGCGTGTGATAGCATGATGTCACTGAACCTCGATGACATCATGCTCAGCTGTTTCTGCCTTTTAAAACAAAAGTGTTGTCCATAAATTAGGGGAGACAGGGAGTTTACAGGCAGACAGCATTTTTTAACCTTTATACTGGTTTCACCATTTATTATTGTATTATTCCACATTCTAAAAGTGGAAATGAATTGTACATAGTTCCATAATATATACATATAATTTGAGAAAAGGGAAGGTGACAGAGAGTGTGTGTGTGTTGTGAACGAGGGGGGTTGGAGCCCGATAAGCATTTGATTTGCCGAACCTTTTCCCACTGATATATTTTCCACATAACATAACAAAACAAACAAGATACAGATTTGAAAAATAAAGTTTGAAATAATACTAAATAATACATTTTAAAAGGAAAAAAAAATACATAATTTTTATTTCAAAACATTTAAATTGCATGATTTCTATTGACGTTACGGTGGAAGTGTCTAAACCTTGGCCTTTGTGCTGGTCATGTGAGCACATAGGGTTGTGATAGGCTTAAAGCGGAGGGCATTAATCTCCTGGAGAGGGAATAATAATCCACAGGGAGCAGCACAGAGGGGTCGGGCCAATCCACAACTGGCTCACACCGTGCACATGCGGAGCGTTGATTTTACTTAGATTTGCAGGTGATGGGTGTCACAAAGCAAAACATATAACCTTAGAAATAAACTGGGCCACTGTGTTGTGACGACATTAACAATAAAACTAAAAAAATGCTCAGACACCACACAAGAGGTGACTTTAAAATGTGATTATTTTGGAAAATACTCTAACTTTCAACATAAATATGAAATACAAGATTATAGTGCTTTCCAATGGTACCACAAGATCCTTAGAAAAAAAATATGACCCGTTTCTAATTAATTACGAAAATACATAATTCTGAACATAAGGCCCTGTAGTAACATGTATATAAAGTATTTTTAATCATAAACATATGTATTATATATGTATTATTTATTATCCCCTTGGAATAAGCCCCATCAGGCTGGAGGAGAAGAGTTGGACCAATGGGGAGGGGCCTCTTGAATGAATTGTGTCCAATCAGGAAGTGACAGGTTAGCTCTGTGTGTGATGTCACTCACAGATTGATAAATACCATAGAGAGCATTCCAAGTAGATCTACATTGAAATAAGAAAAAAACGTTGTATAGTAAAATAGTTTAAATTCATATCTGCCATGAGTCAAACAGATAAATACAAAAATAAGACTTTACAAGAGAAATATCTGTTCATTAGTCATAGTTCCTTGTTGGAGAGAGTCTTTCTGTTCCTGGATTGGATCACATGTTTTACTCACTGTTGACAGATCCAAACTCCTTCTCGTGTGCTCGGGTCAGGATCTCTTTGTACAGCACCTCTGCGTCTTTGAACTTCCCCTGCTTCAAGTAACACGTGGCCTGAGCAGAAGATACGGTTTAACAGTCAACACATCATTCAATCACAGCCTTCTACTACTTTTTTTTATTCTTTAAAAAAAAAGCTACAACTTAACTCAGCCCAGTCAGAGTTAAGTTTTAGCTTTGGGTTAAAAGAGGTCCAGAGCTTCGCCCCCTGGACCGAGAAGACAGGTCGTAAATAAATTTATGTGGCGTCTGTGTAAAGCATGTGAGATGTGTCCTGTGGGAGACAATCGAGGAGTTTCTTATCTTAAATGAGGATTACAGGAGTACAAACCAGGTTGTTTTTGGTCTTGGCCACGTTGGGGTCGTCTGCTCCCAGTTTGGACTCGTAGATCTCCAGAGCTCTCCTGTAGTAGTACTCCACCTCGTCGTACTTGCCCTGGTTCTGACACAGCAGAGCCAGGTTGTTCAGCTGCTTGGCCACATCTGGGTGGTACTTCCCCAAAACCTACGAAAAGGACAAGAGACAAAACAGCATTTAGAATGACGACATGTTTGTTTCTGAGGTTTTGGAAAGACCGGGGAACGAATGCAAAAACACAGACCAGTGAAAAAAGCACATATTTATTTGAATTCCCAATGGCAAGTAATATATTCTAATACGCCTGCATTTTAGATTCTTATGTTATCACTTTTAAATGCTACAAACCCATAACAGCCATATATTTACTTTTTTGTTTGTTTACATTTCTCTTAATTCTTAAAAAAATAAAGCCACAAAGATGAGGTTAAATTAATCACTGGGGAAAATTGAAGAGAGTTGAAAAACACTCTCAGAAAACCAGCCTCATTCAGCCAATCAGCTCTCAGTGTGTAAAAAGGAAGACAAAAGGTCTGATTTGTTACTTAAACATTTGTTGGGACAAACAACATGAAACAAAAAACTTAGGTACTCCAGCTTTATCTTGCCCTAAATCTTAACCAATTATGAACATCTTTCTGAAAATGTTTTATCCTAAAATTAAAAGCCTAAAACACTATTCAGTTTTATAAAAGTGAAAAACATATAATGTAAAAATAATGCTAAAACATTTGGGTAAATATCATATCCACAATAGTAAATGAAAAAACAAATCTTGCAGAACCATATCCAGAACAAGGATAGGCATAAATAAGCATTGCTTCAGCCTATTCCTTTTTTGGTTGAATATTTTTGTTTTGTTGTTAGTGTTTGTAAATTTAAATGCATCAACCAAAATAAACCATTCATTCATTCATTCATTCATTCATTCAACCATTTGCAGAACCAATTTCAAATGTATTGATAGAGATAGATCGATACTTTATTGATCCCTGTATATTTCCTCCCTAAATAAGATAAGAGAATCAGTTAGCTAAAATAAATTGTCAGTCTGCTGTAAACGTATTGTTGTAATAAGACATTAAACCTAGAAATAATTATAATATGAAATCCGTTTAAAAAATATATGCTTTGTGGGTCTCACAATGGGTAAAGTCAAATCAATCCAATTCAATGTATTCTTGTACAGCCCTAAATCCCAACAGCAGTCATCTCGGGGGAATTTACTTTAAAACCGTTGAATTCAAAAAGTTCAAACACAAGAAACGCAATGATGAAAAACACATAGAGCCATTGGTCCATAAATGACCAAAGTCCATGAACGTTGATAAGGAACAATGAACAATAAACGTGCAAGAACAGCTGCATGATAAAGATATTAGAGTGGTGGTGCGTGACCTTCTCCCTGATCTCCAGAGCTCTCTTGCACAGCGGCTCGGCCTCCTTGTATTTGCCCCTCTTCCCGTACAGCACGGCCAGGTTGTTGAGCGTGGCAGCTACAGCGGGGTGGTCCTTCCCCAGGGTCTTCTCTCTGATGGCCAGCGCGTCGTTCAGCAGGTGGGCCGCTTCTTTGTACTTGTTCTGGTCCCTGTAGCACACGTGCAGACGGAGAGAGGGATTAGGTAAAGAAACACCACCGTATCTGGGGAAAAAAAAACAGTGATTAATTCAAAATAACTAGAGAGACTTTATTGTAATATGTGTTTCTGCTAACCAATTATTACTTTAAAGTAGACCACTAAAAATAATTATTAGTTGATTAGTTAGTATGTTTTTTTCACCTGAGGCAAGTAGCCTGACTCTCGCCAGACCCATGTAGTTCGCTGCACTTCACACATGAGTCTGGTACTGAGCCATAGTGGTTGGATTTCAGAAGGCAGGGCCTTGTAAAAAAATCCTTGTATGTGATTGGATAGACCACTTGTCCGTTATCTTGAATGAAGTCTGCTTTCAACCACTCATATCGAAGCACACGGCTCCCATAGGTTGCCAAATCCCAGCAAGATTTTCCAACCCAAAATCCGCGAGAATACCCAAAAAAAAAAACACTCAGATTGATTTTTTGGCTAAAAACGTAATGTAATCAACTTGGGCTGTCATGATTGTGTTTATTGTCTTTCTGTTTATTTAATACCTACAAGTCTCTTGGAAAAAAATATGCGGGAACCACCAAACCTGGCAACCCTGCTGCATAGTGTGTAAACAGGAACACTGAACCAGTGCTTCAACCAAACTTTACAGGAACATTTGACTCTTAAAACACACATATATCAACATAGAACCATCAACATCTCACCTCAAATTGCATTAAAAGTGACATCCGTGTCTTAATTCGATCGTATTTACTCTTTTAAAAAGATTTGCGGACTTTACGTCCGCCATCTTGGATTCCTCTCGCTGCTGCATGAGAGAAGCGTGAGGAGGCAGTGCAAACCCCACGTAACACCGGCCATCCTGATTGGTCGATTAAAAAATTATCTGGGGAAGGCGTTCGCTATGGCGTCGATACCAGACCCATGTGGTTCAGCCAAACGCCTCTGGTGGAGCATGGCGGAACTACAAGGGTCTGGCAGAGCCAGGCTATAAGGCAAGTACGCGAGTGACAAAAGTAAGTACATTTTGTTTTTGTGATAGAAATAAGTCAAATTAGAGATGGAATACATACAAATTATCAGAATTATCTATTGCATATTTGTAAGAAAGAGCCCTGTGAGTCACTATTTAACGCTTTGGGCTGAGAGCTGATTGGCTGAGGGAGGGTGGTCCTCTCTTTTTCACTTTTCACAAAATATAAAAAGGTAAGGTGCGGTTGAGTGAGTTCCTGGTTGATAAAGTGTTTTTGTTTGTGAGATGTTGTTCTCTTTATTGGGATGTGTTCTTTGAGGAGGTTGGTTCAGTGAGTAATGGGACATGATCTTTTGATTGTTTTGCCGAATAGCTAGGAAGATAAGTAACAGATTATCAAACTTGGATGGAAGGGTTATTCCTCCTCATCTCCATGTTTAGTTCCATTGAGTATCTGACCTGTAGACCAGGGCCAGGATGTTGAGCATGGTGGCCACGTCGGGGTGGTCGTGTCCTGAGGTCTTCTCCAGATCCTCCAGCGCCTGTTTGCAGAGGGGCACCGCCACCTCGTACCTGCCCTGGGACGCGTACTGGATCACCAGGTTGTGGAGGGTCCGCAGGCGAGCCGGGATCTCGTATCCTCCCTGCTGAGCCGCCACCTCTCCACTGGGCTGGGCTGCGGAGAGAGAGGAACGTGCAGCTCAAGTTACGGGAATCATTTTCAAAGAATTGCACAAAGTGAAATCAAACAAAGCTGAAAACTTGTACTTTTACGTTAAAGCAACGAAGAAGTCTTTGACATCACACATTCAAAACGGGGTAATCAAAAATCATCTAACGGTTCTCTAGCAAAAATATTCACATGCATGTGTTTTGTGCCCCTGTCACATCTGTAAACCATCTTTTTAAGACAGAAAAGTTAAAAATAGAGGACAACCCTCCTCTATTGGAGCAGATTGGAGAGGACTCCAATCTGCTCTCACCCCAAAGATTCAAATAGTGACTCACTCTTAGTATTTTTTTTGCATTATTGTAAAAAAGAGTCATTATGAGTTTTCCAATAAGGTGAATATAGCATGTTGTGGTCTGATTTAACAATACTTTCGTTCTAAAAAGCAGAAAACTGATGAGTATGATGTCTTGGTATAACAGGGCTGAGACAGGAGCTTTAAGACAGAAGGGGCAGAGTCCAGACGAGGGAACACTGTTGACTTCACCGCTGCATTGTGTTTTTTAAATTTGCAAGTCCTTTCCCCTCCTCTTATGGTTATCTGGCCTTGACCTTGAATCTAACAAGAACTATTCTGATCTCCCCTGCGCCCACTTCCACACCTCTAGGTAGAAACATGTACCGTTTTACTTTTAATAAAAAAGTTTAAAGTCTACTCCACAGTAAATGGACTGGCCATCTTTTCAAACTCAACATCCTCAAATCAAATTTCAAACAACAATGTGTTTATAATCAGCTTCTGTGTTCTTGACTAACTGTAGACCATAATTTTCTTTCTTTTTTTTCACTAAATCAAAGATAAATTCATATTCTGAATAGATTTTTCAGTTTCCGAAAAAGTGGCTAACCCTAAATAAACTTAAATGATACATGTTGTTTGTCCCACTTTGTACAGAAAGAGTCTAGTAAGCGTAAAACTTTTGTGATAAAATAAGATTACAAGATGCAGTCTATTAAAAAACATGTTATCTTTTGCACATGTGTTAGAAAGAACCCTGAGAGTCACCGAGAGCTGTGGCTGGGTGAGGGTGCTCTGTAAAACATGGTGCACCTTCTGTAATACAGTACATGCATGTGCAAACTGTAGAGATGGAAACAAACTGTATTGAGATCAAGGAACTAGTTATATGGATTTCATCATTAGATGGTTTTGAAAGTTAGGTACCTCCGCCTTAAGTCAACATATACAATTCAAACGGCTGTGTCTGTACAAACAAGCTTCTTTACACACAGTGGAGTCATATCCAGAGAGTAATCCCATGACTCTTAGTAACCAAACGTTTTTCACACATTTCATTAACTCACACAAACTCAACCAAAGCTACAAGCTCCAGGCCAAACAAATACATCTGAAGGTTTTCAGTTTGACCTTCTTCTGCAGCACATGATCTGCTGCGTGCGATGCTTCAAGGACAAATGTGGAAAACCAATGCTCTTTTCACTGACTTCTTTGTAAGCACGGTTGCACACAATATATTTCCACAGTTCTCAGGTCTCTGCACCGACTTTCTGTGGCTCAGGGAGTAGACTTTAAAGTGTGTGCTAAGTACAGCTGTGACATGTTAGTGCCAACCAACTCTGACTCTGAGGAGCACAGGGACTACAGAGTAAGGGCACAGTCTTCCTGAAAATGTGAGACAAACTTCTACCCTGACAATGTTCAAACCCGGGTTACAAAACATGTGAATACGACAAAAGCATTGCATCTTCCCTCCTTCATGCTTGGTTCCATCTTGTTTCGAGTTGCCTTGTGTATGAAATGTGCTAAACAGATAAACCTGCCTTTCCACACAAAACACCCGGCATGTTAAGCACATTAAGAGGAACGGGAAAAAAACCATACACCAAAGTCAGAGTATAAAAGTGTTGTGCTGTCAGGAAAGGCCAGATTAACCTTAGTATTTTGAATCGGGGGAATTCAGCAGCACATAGCAAATTGTTTATCATAAGCTACGCCCAAATTCACAAACATTAGTCCGATGCAAGAGTCAGCGGTTCCTATAGAAACCGAACAGATGGAAGCAAACTTCAAATATGTAAATTTCTTCATCAATAATTCAAAAACTCAGCCCTTCTGTGTCTTTAAGTGTAGGAGCTATACATAAAACATGCTGAGGTTTCACAATCATCTCGCCACCATAATCCATTTTTATTATCATCTTTATGGCTATATTTTCCACATGAAACCTGCTAAAAAGAAGCGTGTAAGTGTTGCTTAATAGTCTAAAACATTCAGTAGAAACATTTCCCTTTGAATCTACACATTTTAGCAGATTATTTATAGAACATTTTACAGACAAAGGAAGATCTACAGAGATACAGGAACAGTTATTTCTGCATTAAAAAGTTACTAAACCTGCTAAATATCTATCGTTATGTAAAACTCATGAGTTGAATATGGAAAAGGTTTCACATTTTTTCCAGTGTGTGCATTTTTTTTTTTTTGCTAGGGGGCTATAGCTGGCTCTGTGCTAACCATATAGTCTACTTTCTCCAATAGGTTTTTGATTGTGTAGAGGACAAAAATAAATATGTTTTCTAATAAGTAATGTAACAATCTATCCTGACTTCCTACTTGTTTTTCTGCGGTTTGATTTGAACTCCAGATTTGCGTTGGCGAGGAAACGTCACACACAGATTGCTCAGCTCGTTTGGTGCGAAAAACCTTTGATTTCACCGGAAAAAACATAGATCTAAATAAAAACCCACCCAACAGCTTGTGATCTTGTGTAAACTCTCAGAACAGAATGCGGGCATCAACATTACGCACGCAGGAGCCGCTGCTGCTGCTGCCGCTACAGTCATCCTATAAAGAAAAACATAGGATTTCTATGTCTTTTATATCATTAACTAACTTTGAAATAAAAGTCTTCAAATTAGAGAAATATGTTCAGTTAGGTGAACCATTAAATCTAACAAAATGCAGGACAATCGTACGACAGGTCATTACTGTACGTATGAATTGTTCTTTGTCTTGTTTGGATTTTTTCTTTTTTTTTATCTAGGGGGAATATTCCTGTAGTTGATGGGATTTTACTGAAGAAAACATCCAGAGGAGTTCAAATGACTTCAAATCACAAAAATCCCCTTCAAATGTTTGATGAATGTTTTTCGATCAGGATTTGTTCTTTATAATTTTGTATAGGATTTGGGTGAAGTATAAAAACATTATCTCGATTCCATATGAAGGTCTCCAATAATGCAGATTAAACACTAATTCTGTGGGGACGAAATAACAGAGATGGCAAGATACTTAAAAACTGTACTCGAGTAGTTTTTCCTGGTGTTCAAACGTCTTTAATCCATCATCACAAACATCTGGATCCTACTCCTTACGTTTTGAGATGACTTGTTACCGTTGTCGATGGTGACGCAGCATAAAAATAGATTTGAGGTTTAGACGCCATGCTTCTTGGTGAATTAATTCATTGTGATTAGCCGCGCTTCTAAGTGCCGATAAAAATTATGATCATATTCTGTGCGAGTTTGACATAACGATATAATGTTGTATAAGCGTTTTACCAGAGTGGATTCTTATACTAGAACTAGTGTGTGTCTGTGGGTGTGTCTGTGTCTGTGTGTGTGTCTGTGTGTGCTTACGCGTGTCTGTGTGTGTCTGTGGCTGTCTGTGTCAGTCAGTGTGCGTCAGTGTCCATCAGCATCCGTCAATGTGCGTCAGTGAGCGTCCATGAGCGTCCATGAGCGTCCATGAGCGTCCATGAGCGTCCATGGGCGTCCATGGGCGTCCGTGTCCGTCCGTGTCCGTCCGTGTGCGTGCGTCAGTGTGCGTCAGTGTGCGTCCGTGTGCGTCCGTGAGCGTCAGTGTCCATCTGTGTCCGTCAGTGTGCGTCAGCATCCGTCAGCGTGCCGTGACGTGTGCGTCAGCGTGCGTCAGTGTGCGTCCGTGCATCTGTCAATGTGCGTCAGTGTGCGTCAGTGTGCGTCCGTGAGCGTCCGTGAGCGTCAGTGTCCGTCCTTGTCCGTCCGTGTCTGTCCGTGTCTGTCAGTGTGCGTTAGCGTCCGTCAGTGTGTGTCAGTGTGCGTCAGTGTGCGTCAGTGTGCGTCCGTGAGCATCAGTGTGCGTCCGTGAGCGTCAGTGTGCGTCAGTGTGCGTGCATATTAAATGAAAGTAGAGTGATAGTGAAGAATGGGGTCTGGGTTAATGTTATATATCCGTCTCCTTTTGTTCTACTGTTTTAGCACCACCTGCTCAGGGACTGCAGGCGTAAATTAGCACTGCTGCTACAACCTGGTACAATGCATCTCTCCTCTTGGCAAATGTTTATTCTACACTGTCACTGTAATAATAAAAATCATACTAAACCATACTTTTGCCACCTTTGCTAAATAGTGAAACTCCTTTAAAATCCCTCCACAAAAATTCCCAGTTCCAGAAGGGTCTTACCCGGTCCCTGGTCGTCGTCGTTGGGGAACAGGTCGTCCAGACTGTCCTTGTCTCCTCCGCTGCTGCTGCTCTGACTCTTGTCCTCGGAGGGCGACGTGTCATCGTCAAACTTCTTGATTTGGTTCATGAACTCCAGGTGCTTCTTCTCCTCCTCCAGCTGCGCCACGCTCTGCTCGCTGCGCTGGAGCTTGTGCTGGGTGCTGGCCAGCTCGTCCCGCAGCCACTGGTTCTCCTGACAGAGCCTCCGCACCTGAGCTCGCAGCTTCTGCTTCTCCGACTCCACGGCGCTGAGGTGACTGGACAGGGCAATAATCACCTGGAGCAAGGAGAAGGTGGAGGTTATTATAGTAGGGACATTTCCTGTCTTTTTCGCACATCCTTAAGACAAACGTGACATGTACATTATTCTATTCTCACAATATTAACTCATTATTATTCTAATTTTAAGATTGTTACTTTAATGTTGTTGTTTTCTACTGTGACAGCGCAATTTCTCTTGTGGATCAATAAAGTCTGTCTAATTCCAAGTCTTTGTACGTACATTTCTTCAGTCTCAGATCAGTAAATTTTATCTCATCTTTTTGGAATTATATTTACTGTTAGAAGTGGGCATATATTTGGTCATTCTGCAGCCAGCTATACTTTCCTTTACATTCACAATGGAAAAACGTAGGCAGACTTTGAAGTTTGATCTTTCCAATCTATCACACTGCAAAAAGTGATGAAAAATAAGTACACATTTATCTTAATTTGAGCACATTTTGCCTGCCTTAAACCCAGATTTACCAATGGGACGAGCAAAATGAAAGAAGAAATGTCTCCCTTGAAAGGAGAAAATACAGCAACAGTTCTTGCCATTTAGTCTTATTTTCATTGTCAAATCTTGTTTTAAGACAGTCATAATGTGCTCAAATGAAGATAAATACCACTTTATAAAATAAGAGTATAAAGGATTCCCAGACAGATTCACTGCAAAAGATGTTCAAATATGGTAAATGCTTGAATTGGGTCGTTTTTGTATCTTTTTGAGTATTCTGTCAGACATTCTGTCTGTCTTAGAACATGATTTGCCAATGGGACAAGAAAATGTGCTAAAATGAAGATACATTCTGCCAAAGTTGAGTAATTCTTCTGTTATTTTTCACCACTTTTTGCAGTGTGTTCCGTTTTGTCGCCTGTAAAGACTGAAGGAGCTTCATATTTCACCTGTGCCTCCCCAAGCCCCAGCTCGATGGCCTCCAGGCTCTTGCGCAGGGCTCCAGACTTCTCCTGGGCGGTGGGCGGCTGAGCGCAGTCCAGCAGAGAGTTGAGGAGCTGAGCGTGTTCCCCCCGGAGCGACTCCAGCCCCTGCATAACCGCTTTGGTGTTGAGCACGATCTCATCCTGACTCAGCCGCTCCAGAGAGTCCTCACGCGGGTACACCATGGTGGACATAGCCGGCTTTCAGGCACACTGCACACACAAGGAAGGGACGGAAGGGAACAAGGCGTCAAGCAATAGATATAGAACGATAGATACTTTATTGATCCCTGTAGGAGAAACTCAGGTGTCCAGCAGCAGAAACGCATCCATACAAACACATACAGTACATAAACATAATACATAACATAGTGCACACATGTAACTCAGGCAGACCTGTTGTACAGTCTGACAGCCGAAGGAACAAAGGATCTCTTAATTGACCCTTTACTGTTCATTCCTTGAAAAAAGCCATGTATACTTTTGGGGATTTTCTAAGATGTAGGAGCACTAATAATAATTTTTTAAAAATAGTTTTTGTTTTGTTTTATTATTGTTTTATGAACCCCTTGTTTTGAATTTATAGGCCTTTAGAAAATGGTTAGGGTTAGGGTTAGATTTCCGTTCCAAGCTTAAATGAGATATAATACATTAGGACTGCTGCTTTATTGCCTCGTCTCCATGAAACATAACAGTGTATTACAATTTTTCTCTACAGCAGTCTATCATGCAACCATTTTTTACTTTATAGTGACAGGTAAAAAAAAAAAAAAACATAAAAAAAAATAGACATACCTAGCATTAATATAAGGACAATGGAAAAGTCATTCCACTAAAAAGCCTTAAAATAGATAGCTCCTAAGGCTGTGCAATTAATCAAAATCAAATTACAATTTTAATTATAATAAAACCATGATAAAATATATATGTTTGATAAAGTTTGCATTATTTAAATTATATATATTACACACACACACAGTTCTATGGCACTTTATTTAGCAGTATTATTTTACACATAGCAACTTATTGATTACTATTCATTTGCATTCAAAGAGATTATTTTATAAGCGCAGAAATTATTGCAAAGGTTAATGCAAAGTTATTTGCGGCACGGTGGCTGAGTGGATAGCACTCTCGCCTTTCAGCAAGGGCCTTTCTGAGTGGAGTTTGCATGTTCTCCCCGTGTCTGCGTAGGTTTCCTCCGGGTACTCCGGTTTCCCCTATCACTAAAAATATGTACAATAGGTCTGGCATGCGCCTCCTGTTCGGCGACCCTGCTCCCATCTCTGAGTGAGTGGACAAGTGCCCAAAAAATAACAATTTTAAACCGCTTTGTGACTCTGGTCTGTGAAAGGCGGTAGTAAGATTACTTACTTACTTATTTTATAAGTGCAAAATGAACATATTATTTTCTCTATAATGGAGCAGCCCTAGTTCCATCTAAAATGTAATGCACGCTATAAATGTAGTGATGGTTGTGACGTCGAGCCGAATCCTTCCATTTACTGAAGAAATGAGAAACTGATTTGAGAAACTTATTGTTATTTGCTGGAATCTTGACCCATCAGGGCTGGACTCAGAAAGCACAGACTGTACAGACGATAACAGGCAAACAAAAAGAATGTAGCTTTTCCCCAGAGTAAAGCCGCAATGAGACAAAAGACGCTTGTTTAACTCCTGTCCTGTGCGAGGGCTGCTTAGGTCAGTGCTGGAGGATTCCCTGCAGCTTAAACTCTGTGTCTGAGAGTGACCATAAGCCAATTAAAACAAGATGAGATTTCACTGGGAGCAGAGGTATCAGAAAAGAGCTGTGAGGTTAAATCCACCTGTAGATTACCTGCTTTTCAAACAAGAATGTAGTCGCTATATCGTCTTACCATTAGACTTATACCATTGAACACTGCAAAAAGGTGATGAAAAATAAGACAAAAAGTGCTACAATTTGGCAAAACGTATCCTAATTTGAGTAGATTTTGACTGCCTCAAAACAAGATTTGCCAATGGGAAAATTAAAATGATCTTGTTTTTAAAAAGATACAAGAAATGTCTCTCTTGCACTGCAAAAGGTGACAAAATATAAGTAAATTAATGCTTCATCAAGATTTTTTTTTTTTTTTTAAATCTTAATTTGAGTATATTTTGACTTTTTCAAGTGCTGTTGCAATTTTTGTCTCATTCCAGGGGAGACATTTCTGGTTTTAAAACTATACAAGACAAATCAAGAAATGTTTTCTTGTCCCAAAGGCAAATCTTGTTGTTTTTAGACTGTCAAACTGTGCGCAAATTAAGATAAAACCACTTGATTGAACTTGAAGCATTAATTAACTTAAATTGTGTGGAATGAGAAAATACAGCAATAGTTCTTGAAATGAGACTAAATGGCTTTGTCCCACTGGCAAATCCTGTTTTAAGTCAAAATGTACTCTAAGATACAATTTTGTCAAATTTGCGTATTTTCATACTTATTTTTCATCACTTTTTCACTCGATTCAAGCAATTATCAACTTATATTTTTCAGTGAACTGGGCAGTCTGATCAAAATAGAGGTTGTCAACTTGTGGCCATGTCCTCATACTAATAAACCAATCAGAAGACACATTTCTTGTAAATGTAAAATGTTATGGTAAGTCTACCATGTCGTTTCATCTGCTTTAGACAATTACCAAAGTCAAAAGCTAGGTCTGTCACATCAGTCATTATAGATTCTGTTCAATAACCAGATACCAGAATGATATTTGATTGAAAATTGATACATTTTCAATTCAATTCTATGTATTCTTGTATAGCTCTCAATCACAACAGTCATCATCTCGGAGGACTTCACAAAACCGTTGAATTCGCCAACACAGATCAGAGAAAGAAATGCCATTTTGGGGCTCAACAATTACGGTCTGAACATTTTACAGAGAAGACAAGTGCCATTATCGTTGTCACACGATACAATCTGACCTGAATAAGTCACTTTCACGGCGAACTAAATGTCTTTGTGAGAAGGGGTGATTAGGCTGGGCTCAGGTTCGACATCCAGAAGAGACCGTTATGTGAAATGTAGGTCATCCACATACGATTAGATAAGAGAACCTTTAATCATGGAAATACGGACGTTGCAGCGCACATACAGGACAGTAGTAAGAGCACACCCAAAATACATATAGATTGGACTGAAAAAATAAAGGCCATACTCATGTGTGCAGTGAAGTCATTGCGCAGACTGTAAATAATTGTGTGTTGTAAATATACTATTGTGTCTCTTGATGTTTAAGGGTGTTAGATTTTACCTGTAATCTAAAAGCTAGTTCCTTAACACACTGTAAGCTTGCCCTTACTTTGCCTCTGCCAAATGAAAATAAAAATCAGCTTGTAGCCATGTCCGGTCTGTACAATACATTTATTGTGCAACGACCTTGTCAACCAAACAAACACACTATTGCCTGATTCTGTGTATTTATTTATTGCACCACAGAGAAGAGGAGACTTAGACCAGACACACACAGACCCGGGCTGGCTCAGAGGAAGCCAACACTCCCTCTGAAAGCCCCATAACACAATTTTCTTTTGTTTTAATGCATCACAACTACACTATCACACACACCCACTAACAACACTGTCCTCACACGGTTACAAACATCAATAACTAAAATTCCTAACACTTTTGTGACAATATCCAGCAATCACAGTGACCTTCACACACACACACACATGCGCCGTAAAATAATGCAAAGTCCCCCCTCCCTCCCTCCCTACTTCCTTTTATTCCTTATCTGTATGAATCTCATGTAAATATTGATTTGCATTGTTTTTGTATAATGCCATTTGCCACTTGCGAGCTTGATGCTTCAAAATAAAATTAACGAAAAGAAGAAAAAGACATTGTATTTATTTCAGTGTATTACTTTTTATTGTATTTAAAACGGTTCATCGTGATTTTCCTGCTGTTTTCACCATTGGCACTAGCATTGTTTGATTTCGTCACAATTCATCCATCATAATGCGTTATATCGTGACAAGCCTATCAAAGCTTATTTGTTTAATTGGGTGGAATTTTTAGCATTCATTTCAAAGTACACAGATCCTTTCAGCCAATCACAGCCTCTCCCAAACCTGTGAATAAGAGCAGGCAGACACGCTGGCTCTCCCCGTCAGTGAAGGATATCAGATTATGCCGTTTGTCCTGAAGGTTGACGACGCAGATGTAAAATAATCGCCTCCACCAGCAGCAGTGAGCTCCCTGTAGTCAGGGCCTCGGCTTTTCTTTCTAAATGAACTAGTGTTTTTTTTGACGCTGCTCACATGTGAAAGTGAACTTATTTGCATGTTGTTTGCATGTTTCACCTTATTCTCTCCTACACATGTCATATTTTCTAGGCTAAAGTTAGATTTTATTTTTTAATTAGAGTTATTGTTCATTAATCTTGTGCTGAGTGCTCCTCATTCTTACTGTTCTGTAACTGGTGGGATGAAGAAACAATCTCTTAATTGAATCTTTTGTAGACATTTTCTAAAGCTGGTGATTGTTGATAATATTGGCTTAGTAGTCCACATGATCTTACTCCTCTTATGCTTAGTAGACATTGGTTGTCATTTAAAACAGACACATAATTGCATTTTTTTTTTTCCCCTTGCCATCAAAAGTAGGTTTTCTTGCAAAGACACATTGGCTGTAATTGGGAGTTATAACTTAAGAAAGTGAAAAATAGTCTTTGTGTTCATGAAGACTGATAAAGAACCCATGGTGTGTAACAGGGCTTATAAATCAGATTGATAAAAACGTGCCTCTACTCCAAATCCTCCCTTCCATATCACTTCCTCTCTCTCCCGCCTCCCCCCTTTCACCTCTCCTTTATTTCACCCCTCCCTAGCCTGGGGAACAAGGCAAACTGTGGCTTTGGTTCAGGGGGGCAGAAGAGTTTTCCTCAGAGGTGGGTTGAGCTCCTCTTGGATTTCACGCAAATTTTGTCTTTCATTACATTCACAAAAAACACTTGAGTGCCTCGAATCATAGTGAATTCAGCCATATCATTCGGTCTCTCATCTTTGAAACTTTAAAATTACAAAAAATATAATCCTTGCGTTTAGTTCCTCTCGCTTGGTTCCATCACTAGTTATCACATGTA